CCAAAGTCTGAACCAAAATATCCCCTTAATTCACACAGATAGTAATTGGTACACTGCTGACATGGGGATGCAGAGCTGGTTATGATCACTGCAGAAACTATTGAGACATTCCGCCTTTCCGAAAATGTTAGGTCTTCAGATTTCTTTCAGGGTATCAAAGCCCTAATCATAAAAAAGATTGGGTTGGAAGGAACCATAAAGGTCATCTCATTCCAACACGCTGCCATAGGACACCTTCCACTGTCCCAGGCTGCTCAGAGCTCCATCCAGCGTGGCCTTGGACGCTCCCAGGAATGGGATAGCTACAGCTTCTCTGGGCAATAGTTTCTATAGTTTCTTGCAAATCATTTCGGATGGAGACACCATTTTGGGTGAAGCAGAGCTGAACACATATCAGTAAGAGGAGGATGTACCATTAACACTCAGTGGCAGTTAACAAGCCAGGTCCTTGCAAAACAAACATCAAGACAAAACTGAGTGTAGGGAGCAGCAACATATGAGTGAGTTTTAGCTGGCAGAGATTTTAAAAATTCAGAAAAAAGCTTTAGCAACTAATGTATAGATTTTCAGGAATGAAACAATGCTGCTGCCATCTGCAAATCCCTGTCAGTGCATCTGCAATACCTGGACCAACTCACTCTAGGTGTGTTTGCATATCTTTGAAACAGCACACCTTCCCTTCCGTGTCTGCAGACCCATCCTTTGATCTGCTGCAACGTGAATATAAAACAGCAGCAATCCTTACAAAGGAATGATAATAGCTCTCTGCTTTGATACCTATGGCAACATGACTAAAAACAAGCAATTCAAAGAAACAACTAATTCAGTTTAAAGTTATGAAGTTATGAGCTTGTTTTTTCCTGTGGTCTTTAACTTATCTGCAAAGCTCTTTAATCCAATTTTGTAAAGAAGTGTAAGTAGCCATCCTGAATTGATTATTACAACTTCAGGATGAGTGACACTTGACTGCAAGAGTAAAAGGATGTCAATCTCTTTTGTTTTCATTTTCAAAGAATGAACAGGAAATATTCTTTTCCCTGCATGCTCTTCTAGGCAAAAAAGAAAGCTACAGACTGTGGTTTTAGCCCATAGTCTTGGACTCCAGTGTCCTTCCACAATGACTAATACATAGAAATGCTTAATCTGATAAAATTCTTCAGCAATCTGGACAATACAAGCTGAACAAAAAGCACTGTTTTACTAAAATAAAGTCATTCCTACCCACAGAATGTCTGCAGGTCCAACTGACCTGTAATCTATAATAATTTCCCAACGCCCAGAAGTTACCAAAATACCATATGGCTCTTCTTTACTGCAGCAATTCAATACATTCACGGATGCAGGCATTCACTCTTTTTTTTTTTTCCTTTTTCTTTCTAAAATTTATGTTTGAATCCCAGCAACTCATCTTGTGCCATAAAATGTTTATGGTTTCAACTTATATGGAGAATCCAGCAGCCTTCGGAGATCGAAGGGCCATTCTCACTGTCAAAACTGGAAGCTTCACAATGATAACTTCATTTTCATTACAGCTTCACAAAGAATATAGAAATACACAACTCTTTCAGCTACCAATACTCCCACAGACTAAAAACATGCAACTCCAACTAGTAAGTTTTTGCTGACCACATAATACACAATTAGGTTTTGTCAAATGCTTTTAGGACTTTTACAGTCACTTATGCATTTTTAAGGCTGTAATTAAATTGCCAAAAAACTACATGACAAAACACAGCTTGTCTGATTAAAAAGTTTAAAAAAAAACCAACCCACCTTTATCTTCTTTCAGTACAGCAGATGAAAGCATATTTTAAGTCATTATTTCCTCTTTAGGCTTCCCCCACTACATGCAGGGAGGGGTTTTAGTTTCCATTCTAACCTGAGATGAACCAGTCGGCCTAGAAAGCTCCTTGCTTCAAAACTACCAGACTCTAAAATCCAGGGTTTATTCCACAACTTGGATGCTACAGGTGAGCCAGGATCAAGACTTCTACACAGGCTGCCTCAGTGAGAATATTGCTTCCTACAGATCCACATTCCTATTCTGCTACAAGGTAAGCCAGAAGTTAAATATCCCTAAAGTGAAGGGATATATATAAATAAAAATACATATTTCTATATCTTTGAGCCCATGCTAAGCAATATATTCAAATTGTTTGTAAGCATGCCCATAAGACATGCTTAGAATTGCTCTGCTCTAAGAACACATTTATGAAAAATTAAAAAAAAAACAAACCTCAACAGTGAAAGATACAAGACAGAAAATTGTCACATTAAGATTTACTTATGCAAGATGTATTCTGACTACACCAGGGTCCTATGAAGCACATTGGCCCAGCTGAACTGGCAGGTCTCAGGTTTTGCTAGCACCCATCCAGCTGTTGTTTCTCAGTAAACATCTGAGTAAGTACACCAACATTGTCTCATTAACACAAAAAAAATGAAGATAGCGTCACCAAGTAAGCTGAAACAGTCAATTAATGAGTGTCACGCTGGAAAACACCTAAAAATAATTATTACCTGTTTACCAGAATCCTGTGAAATTTCCAGTAGATAATATTCAAATTTAAGTTGTCAGGAAAAAAACCTATCAGCCTATGTATAAACAGATATGAGTACAGACCATGTTCAAGGTCTGCACTTGCCCTTTCTTCTGCATGGGGAAAGTGTGAGAAAGGGTTCTAGTTTTAGACTCTGAGGTACATTCACAGTAGTAACCACATGATTCAAGTGTCTGTGCTCCTCCCTCACTGCTGCTGTTTGAACTCAGAGTATTGTTGTACTTTGCACCAAGACATATTCCTGAGATTTTAAAGTGCTGCGCTTTCGTAATTTTGAAAAATAACTAGCAGTAACAACCTACAGAGCAGTAGAAAACTGCAGAATATCAGAATGATTTGGATTGAAAGGGACCTTCAAGAACAGCTTGTCCAACCCCATGACACCTTCTCAGATTGCCCCAAACCCCATCCAACCTGGCCTTGGACACTCCCAGGGATCCAGGGGCAGCCACAGCTTCTCTGGGCACCCTGTGCTGGGGCCTCCTCACCCTGACCTTCCAAGAAGGAAAAAATTTCTTCATTTCCTGGTGTTGAATTAAACTTTACCATTTGTAAGCCTCCAATAATTTTGAAAAATTAGGTAGGCTGACACCAACCCTCTATTTTTTTTACACTTAATAGGAACACTTGGGTGCCAAAGCCTGCATGTGGAAATCAGTAACATTTATGGAGTCACTTCACTGCACACTGAAGTGTGAAACGAGACATAGATGGACAGGTTGTGTTTACCTACCCAGGTACACCTAGAATAATGAGACATCTTGGTCACCTCCAAGGGCAGCACTGGTGGTGTCCATCTGATCTCCACTCACCCCCCATAAATACCCATTTGCCCTCAGGCTTGTGATTGCTTTGCCTGTGCCCAGGGTATTTCAGTGCCTGTGCCTCCCCTGTGCTCCGCACCAGATGAAATTGTGCATAATTAAAGTATTCTAGAAAAAATACCCAAGTAACTTTCAGCTCCATTTTCAAAGGAAAAGGTGAAAAAGGTGAAAATTTCATGAAGTTGCAATGCGACTTGGGTCCTGAATGTTTGAATCATTTCTGACAATAGCAGTCCAAAGACTCAAAGTTTTGAAAACCTTATCCTATATAATGTAAATCATAGATGGCTGCACAGTAGGAGGAATCAAAACATACAACTTTTACAGTTCATGGTAAAAATATTACACTGTATGTAATACTTGTGTGAAATGTATTTCTTTTTTTCTCTCATCACATCAAGTTCTCTCACTTGGGAGACAGAGACACTGCTCTCCTCACACGAGGCTGTTTGTGCCCAGCTCAGGACAGGGGTGTCCCCTTCCACCTGCTGACACACACCAGAACACCTTTATGGTTATGTTCAGTTCATGAGAGTACTTCTGTGCAAGAAGCAGCCTCAGAGGCATCACAGCTCTGGCAAAATCCCCCAGTGAGAAAGCACTGTGGTGGTTGTAAGCAATTTGAGAAAGAAGGAAGGGCCTGGAGTTTGTTGCTTACTCCTGTTATCTCAAACTTAATTAAATTTGAAACGTGGAAGAAATTAGGACACAAACAAATAATTAAAACATTAATCATAAATGAATTCACAGTTTAAAAATATAGAGTCCTTGGCACGGATTTCATGTGAGTAGCTGAAAGTCTGTTATTTCCTGTAGCACCTACTATTCTGGTAAATTCAATACAGGTTGCCTAATGAATTCAGAAGTTACTGGAAAAGAAAAGGGAGAAGAAAAGGAATGGCACTGACACACCCCTACGTCACACCACTTTGCTTCCTTAAACAGCCCAGGCTTAGGCCAGTTTTAGAGGCACAGAAGTTACATTGAAGTGTCATTTTAACTCAAAGATACAACCAAATTTATTCATTCTCACTCACTGTGAGGAAAACTAATTCCCTCACCAGAACTATAAAATACAATTGCATTTCACTGCTGACTATCATTAGTTTGACCATATGCTGATTTTTTGGGGGCAGGCAGCAGGGTGGTAAATTAATATATATCTGAATGGCCAAATATTTCTGGTTACCCCTTCCTATTTTGCTGTAGGTCCCAGCTGTCACTAAGGCCTGTCACTCTTTTACAGCAACATGAAGCCAGTCTACTTTAATTACAGGTGCAGCCTAATAGTTAACAGATTCATGATCATCTCTCCTCTCTGCTGCAACCACATGAATCCAGGCTTTGATTGAAAATGAGAAAAGGAGAAAAAAGAAATCAAACATGTTGCTAATTGTGTCTTGAAAGAAAGATTCCTTTGCTTCCCAAGACTTGCAACCTTATCAGACTTACCACGTACTGGAAGTACAATGTGAACCATGCCATCATTTCAGGGCAAGCAGAGTAAAAAAATCATTAGCAGACATCTAATAATACCAAGAATCCAAACCTATCAAACCTCTCTTCCCCCCTTTTCATCTAACAAACACATCATATTTATCAGAAGCATTATTACCTGCATTCAAAACTGGCAGCAGTGAAATACCAGGTGGTGCTGCTTCAGAGTTCTTCGCCAAAGCAGTTTGGGAATCTTGGCCATGGATCTCAGTGGTGAGCTGTATTTCTTCCAACCCATCCTATCTGCTTCAGTCCAATGGACAGATTTCAGAGTGTGATTTTCTTCAGTGTAGTAGCATTCTTCAATCTAAACGGAGCTGTGAGGAAAAAGCAAAGAGAATTTGAGCTCGTCTGATCTAACTTTCCAACTGTTTTAGGCTAAGATGAGGCTAAACATTGCCCAGAGGGGTTGCAGTCTCCCCACCCCTGGAAGTACTCAAGACCATCCCTGGATAGGGCTTGGAGCAGCCTGGTCTAGTGGAAGGTGTCCGTACCCATGGCAGGGTGTTGGAATTGGATGATCTTTAAAGTCTCTTCCAACCCAAACCATTCTGTGACTGTGAAGATCCATCCAAATATTGTCCAATACTACACCATACAAATATTCATCCCAAATACCTCCCTTAGCCTAATATCTGTGAAGATAGACCACACGTGAGATGAAGGCAAACAAAAGGAGATTCCACAACCAAGGACCTCCAGAGAGCAACCAGTCCAAACACTCTGCCCAAATCAGAGAACAAGAGGGTCCCCAGGACCACTCCAGCTCTGAGTATCTCCACAGATACTGAGGGTAACTTGTCCCAGTGTTTGGCCACTCACAGCAAAAACCTTCTCACTGTAACAGAATTTCCTCTAATTCAGTTTGTGTCCCTGAGCCCACTCATCTCAAGGCTGAACTGTCTCAGCTCTCTCTGCCTCCCCTGGTATCACCAGTGTATTCTCACAGTGGGGTTTCCCACCCTGTTTTCTGGCCCAAATACAGTGCTCCTGTATTTTGATGACTGAACTATGGTACTAAGTGCAGATGTATTTCTCCAGCATTCTTTTAATCATCTGAAAAATAAAGCAGCAATAATTACATAGCAATGAAATTGCTGATTAAGTGGGCCATGAACACATTGGGAAACCACAAGGTGTAGGCCTTCCTTATCTCATTAAAAGTTACACTTTAAGCAACAGGACATTTTTAATCTTTTCTGTCCCAGCTACACACAACCTAAGTTTGTGCATCAAAATACTGCATTGCAAAGATTTAATGCTTCAAAAGAAATTAGTTAAATATAGTAATAAAGGCCAGAGACACAAGCCTATATTAAAAAAAAATCAGCTTTGTCTCACAAATCCTTCTATCACAAAACCATAGTGGCCAACATTTATTTTTATTTTTAGCTTTTAAGCTTTCACTGATGGAAGTCCAAGTTAACCTTTACTTTATTTTGTCCTGGACTAAATCCACTGTGACATCCTTTTTGCCCTTTTAAATACAGAAATTTCTTGGAAGGCTTCCAGTACTTTGAAATAAACACATTTACAAGATATGCAACAATTAACATGAGTGGCTCTAGAGGCTCCTGAGACAGCTCTGAAGTCCCTATGATGTGATGTCCAGATATGTTTATATAACTTTTTTTATTTAATAGTTAATTTCAGAAATCACTCCTTTACCATCTTTAGCAAAGTGGGTGTGAACTTTCTACTCCAAACAACAAATGATATGGGAAAAGAGAAAAAATATGAAAAAAGCAAAATGACATTAAAAAGGCAAAAAAAAATTGCATTAAAATAGTACAAGTTTATGCTTAATGATGTCTAAAGAGCAAGCTGACTTTGAGGCACACTGGAAATGACCATTTCACCCTGTAGCTGGTGGTGCTGGAGCCAGGGGACAACTGCACTAAAGATCAGAAGATTGTTATGTTTATGCACCTACAAGCTGACATCTGTCCACTTCTCAATCACAAGTCTCACTACATGTTTCTACTTATTTCTCAAAATTACAAGGCTTGTTACAATTTTACTTCAGTTTTCACACAAGAACTTGAGAGTCTCAACAGCAGCAAATTTGTGAGTTTCCAGTTGAAGCACCCAAAGAGATAAAGCAGATACAGGATGAGAGGTTATTTTTCAAAACAAATGCAAACTGGCAAAGTCTCAGGTCTTTTACTGTTGGATACTTGTTGGGAACAAGTTAAAATAGCTCCTCAATCACCTGCAATTATCTTCAAAAGTTTCTGGAAGTCAGAAAAGCTCACAAAAACAATGAAGTGCCAGCAGAGAGCTTGAACTCTAAGAAGTTTAGAAAATAAATTATAAATTAGATTCTTTTTATTACTATCTTGTTTAATGTGTAATTAAGTCAGGAATTATTCAAAAAATTTTCATCCTACCTGAAAACAAGGGATGAACAATTCTAAGGATCCCTTCCAGATAAATTTATATATTTATTATATTATTGCAACCACGGTAAGACCAACAAGAGTATGGATTGGAAACAAGCAGATGAAAAATGCTTCCACATCAGTGAAGCAGCACAGAGGTCCCAGACTGTTTGTTCCATGCTGAACCTCAATGAGGAATAAAAATATTCAGAAGTAACTCTGACTGAAGTCCAAATAATAGTCCCAATTCCCTCCACGGGCTCTTGTGCAGAGAAGTTGCTCAGCCCACTGTTTTACAACACATGGATTTTAAAAAATCATCTGGGAAGTTGTCAAATACTATTTTTCTTTAATAGCTACATATACACTGTGGCTCTTCAGCCAACTGGCAGAAACATTAAACCCCCAAACTTTTATCGTTTTTACAACATGTAGAAGTTATTTTTTTATACTTCATGACTCTAAGAAGTACAACTAAACAGAGCACTACTATAATTTTCTAATTATATTTTCGCAAGTTTTTAATGTCATAATTTAAATTATGAACTCTTTAATTCAAGATGATTAATTAGAATATGTTCCATTTGGGGAACAAGAGTTCAATATCCCACTAGCAATTAAACAAAATGCACTCCTTTAGCTTAAGATAAAAAACCAAAATGCAGCCAAAAAGTTTCTTCCTTGTATCTGTCAGATCACAAAAGCATCCAATACAGCAGGATAAGTTTGCCAGAAAACCCTAACACTTTCAAAACTATATTATTTAGTGCAGTGGCTTAGTTCTGAAGCTGCACCAGAAATGACATCCGAGCTCTGGACAGTAAGCCTTTTTGCCAATGAATTTCTTGTAAAGTCAACAATTATAATTTATTCTGATCCTTTGTGTCATCATATTAGTAGTTATTTTTTTCTGCAATCCCAGAGCAGCAACAAATAATACCATAGAAGAGGACTGATATAATTACAGGCTGAAAAAGATAGGCCAGCACCCTTACACTCAAAACTACCCTCTGTGGCTCCTTCATACCCCATATGTTGCTAATAAAACTGTTTGAATCATACCTAGGAGACAGTTTTACTGATATTGTATCAGGTCCCTGGGTTCTTTGTATGAGATACGATGTCACCAGCACTATAACTATGCAAATTCTGTGATACAGGATCCCACTGGACACAATATTACATACCCAACTCACAGTATGAACCTGGGCATTAACAATAATTCTAGTGTTATATAAATGAAACCACTATGTTTATTGAAAAGCACGCCACACAACAACAAAATCAAATTTAAAAAGCAATAAAGAGCAACTGACGTGCTCATAGTAAAGATGGCAACATTGGTACTTTTCCCCAAACAATGTAAATTTTGCTTTGTGTTCATGCAACAGTGCTTTACAGAAACTTTTGGTAGAGACATTAAGCAAATGCAACTCCATCAACAACATTAATCAATTACTTTAAATAGGAAATAGAGACTCACTTTTAGGAACAACTATGTGATGTTCAGCAAGAATCACTAGTATATCCAGGAGTGGGATTCTCAGCTTCTGCTACCAATCATGGACTAAATGATAGAGACTAAGAACAGCAGCAGTGAGAAACCAACAGCTTGGAGGTATCAACACACATTGTGCTGAAGCACCTCAGAAGAACCAGCCTGTGGTCACAAAACACCTGCACCAGATCTCTGTGTGACCTCAGGCAAACAAGGCTTCACCCTGGCTGGCATCATGTGAAATAGGGTCCCTCATCTTTTTCTGCCTAGCTCTGTGGTCACTGCTTTATGCACATCACATACACCTGCAAAAAGGCAGGGCAGAGATCTTAAGATGGGTGTTGGAAGAGACAGAAAAGTGCAATGAGAAATCTGACAGCACAGGCAGCTTGGTGCACATTCCTCTTAGCCATGTTTCCAATGATCTCTTCCCTCCACTATTAATTTATTGGTTTGCTGCAGGTGAGGAGTGTTATAGCTTGTAAGGAGTCTATTTTTGAAAGAAATCAGAAAAAAGGTAACAGGCTGGCATGATAAAGTGAGTCTGATAAAGACCCAGACTGAAGAGACAAAAAGATGCTATTCTGCCAAGGTACCGTGAGAATTAATAAATCAGATCATTTTATAAGGTAAATTGTACAGTAAATCTGTATTGTAAATTGTCTAATACATATGGGAAAAGCCACAGCTCAGTAGTCCCTGGCAATATTTTTAATGGCTTCAAACACAGCTAGAAAACAAATGGCACACAGCACAAGTACCTAAGGAGTCTCGCTCTGAGAAGCTCCAACTTTAAATAACTGGTGGAAGAAAAACAGAGTTGTAACCAGGCACTCAGAAGATAAAGAACTGATTGATTCCTGTCACTTGTGTGCTTCCACTACAGTGCCAGCTTCAGCAGTAACTTCTCAAGTTTTCCACCAGTCTCTGTGCAATACAAAAGCCATAACAGTTTTATTCTGTTTAAAAATCAATAAATAGCATCTTAGGTGACATCTGACAAGGCAGAAAGCTCGCACTTTTTCCCATTAACATTCTGCCCTCTGGTATTGCTGCTACATTTTATCATCATGCAATTCAGAGAGAAATATATACCTATTCCCAAAGTTTGAAAAAAACAACCCCCTCCTTCCCAAATATGGCCCAAAGCTGTTATGAAGTAACTTATTTTTAGCAAAAGCACTTATGCAGATACTTAATTTTAATTAATAGTCTCACTGACTTCAACATTTGCACAGCAAGACAACTCCACGCTTCAATTAAAGCCTGCACAGAAATGCTGTGCTGATTCATGGCCAAAAGCATGACAGGAACATCATTATATAAAATGCTCATAAAATTTAAAGAAAAAATGTAACAGGATCCTCACCTTTAAACAGAACATTAGACACCCTCTAAAACTCACAGCTTGAGCAGAACTTGCAGGTTGCTGAATATG